TTTCTCTTCTATAATTAGTTCGGAAGGAATTTATTTTTTTAACAACTGCATCCTTGTCGGCATTAAAGCCAATTAACCTATATTTGTCTAATAATATTTTGTATGCTGCATCTCTCTTTGTTTTGTTATAATAATCTTTGGATATAACGTATCAAATACATAGCTTATTTTGGAATAAACTCTTCCAATAATTCAGTTAACCTTTTTGAGACCACTAGTCATAACGAAAATTACTTAAATGCTACGTCACAAAGCAACACAACTTGTTCAAGTTTGAAAATTTTGGGTATACACTAACCGTTTTGCTTGCGCAAGTGCGCTTAATTCAAGCATGCATAATTAAGATCCTTTTAATCCTCAAGCCGCTTCTACGATCACAAAGCTTACACTACATTTCTATACAAACACTCAAACGTGCTTGCACAAAAAGTTTGAACAAGCATGCTGGACAAGCTTGCATGTGTGTCTGTAGCCGCCTTAATATACTTGATATCTGTATAATTGTAACATTTTAGCTTGGCAGTTAAAAAGGTGGATGTGTCTTCTAAATGAATGATTTTACAAAGAAATACTACAAAACGAAAATTTGTAAAATTGATATTTCATTCTATTGACGTCCAGTTTTCATTGCAATATTATACTACAAAAAAAGTTGGAAGTGTGAAGGTTTGAAGACCCCCGCAAATTTAGAAAAATCGAGAAAAATTTTTATTGCTAGTTCGATTTTAGTGGCCATGGTATGCTAACAAATAATATAAGTTTTCATAAAAAAAGTTTAAACTGTTTTAAAGCAATATTAATAAAATTGGTTTTGTTTTTGTAACTTTAACATCCCGTTACTTGTTGGGAGCACTTTTTTGGGAGCGTATTTCTAAGATTGACTTATTTTCATAACTAAGAATCGTGGTATAAATTTATGACCAATCTTTTTATGTTACTCTGTATTATTGGGTGGGCACACCCGTGCCGGTGATAGTTTCTAAGAAGGAGAGGTTCTGAGAAAGAGAAGCCCCTACTCAGTACTTCTTGGAAAACACACTCGGAGAGGGGCAGCTCTCAACCCTGACACGGCGCGTCCCAATGGCTGATAGGGAACGTCCTACAGATATGTAGGACAGGTGCGAATAAGGCTTTGCCAAATAAACACCCCCGGATCAACTGAGAGCATGGCATAGGGCAGCAGCTATGTCATTACAGGATCAGAGCGGTAGAGACAAGATCTCTGTATCGGTCTGATACCGGATAGTCACGGGCGGTAATCAAATTATGATTTAACCGGTTGTGATACTGCGGTACAGAAAGCAACGGGAAACTACTGCACTATATTTTCCCTAGTAAAGTAACCTATGCAAAACAAAAATTTAACGGCCCCTAGTCCGCGGCAGACCTTAAGTGGTCAGGGGGTGCAAAGAATCCCCGCGAGGAGGAACCATCCGAAAGTGGAATACATTAATAACCAATCCTTGGTACGAATAGGCACTTGGAACGTACAAAGTATGTTTGAACCCGGTAAAGTTCAAAATACCATTCGTGAAATGAAAAGACTTGGAGTGGACATACTAGGTATAAGTGAGATGAGATGGTTTGGTTCTGGAAATGTATCCATCGATGACTACACAATATACTACTCGGGGAACGAACAGCAGAGACACTGGAATGGTGTAGGCCTTATAGTAACAGAGCAGATAAAAAAAGCAGTAATTGATTTCATACCCTATTCTGATCGAATGCTTCTTTTGAAATTACAGAGTAAGCCCGTAAACATAAACATACTCCAAGTTTATGCACCAACTGCTGACAAGTCGGATGATGAAATAGAGCAGTTCTATGAGAATCTCCAAGAATTACTTAAAATGACAAAGAGTTATGAAACAACATTAATCGTAGGAGATTTTAATGCCAAAGTGGGTTGTGGAAAAGTGGAACATATTTGTGGAAATTACGGACTGGGCAATCGCAATGATAGAGGTGGCAGACTACTACAATTTTGCCAGGAGAAACAACTAACTATCATGAACACCTGGTTCAAGCTACCACTACGGAGGCTATATACGTGGAAATCACCCGCAGATAATAAAAACAATTGTGTCCGAAATCAAATCGATTACATTATTATAAACCAGCGATATAAAAACGCAGTAACGGATACAAGAACATACCCAGGCGCAGATGTTCCATCGGATCACAACCTACTAGTGGCTAAATTAAAAATAAAGTTCAAAATGCTAAAAAAGACTGTCAAAAGAAAAACCGACATCAATTTACTTAAACAAGAAAATATACAAAGTATGGTAAAGACTAAACTCAACGAGGAATGTGAAAGACTCCAAAGAGAGTTATCACCAACTACAGAAGGCTTATGGACTGAAGTCAAGAATGCTTTTACTAGCGCCGAGAAATATATAAAATACACTAATAACAAAAGAAAATCTAAACCCTGGATGACACAAAAAATTCTGGGAATGATGGATACTCGAAGAGCCTACAAAAATAAAGATAATGAAAAATATAGGGAGATACATCGTCAAATCAAGAAAGAAATAGCTACCGCAAAAGAAAATTGGATGATAGAAAACTGCCAAGAGATCGAAGAATTAATAAAGAAACACGACAGTCAAACGCTTCACAAGAAAATAAAAGATCTAGCTGGAATGACAAAACAAAGACTCCCTTGTAGATTAACAAACGACGAGAATGAAACGATATGGGAATTAAGCGATCTAAATAACGTATGGGGACATTACATAGAAGAACTATTCTCGGACACATCACTAAACAACATAATATATAAAAACCATGAAACCAGTCCTCCTATATTAAAACAAGAAGTCATAAAGCTACTGGAAGAGAAACATTTAAATATAATCGTCAAATTATTTAATCAAATATATATAAGCGGTGAAATTCCACAAGACTGGTTAAAATCAGTCTTTATTCCCCTTCCAAAAACTAAGGGAGCAAAGAAGTGTGGTGATTTCAGACTTATTAGTTTAATGTCGCAGATGTTAAAGTTATTCTTGAAAGTTATTCACCCACGCATTTATAAGAAATGTGAACAGGATATCAGTGATGAACCATTTGGCTTCCGAAATGGATTTGGGACACGGGAAGCATTAACCAGTTTTATTATACTGCTGCAAAAATGTCGAGACCAAAAAAAGGATCTCTTTTTATGTTTTATTGACTATCAAAAGGCCTTCGACAAAGTAAAACATGATAAGCTGATTGATTGCCTTCACAAAAAGGGACTAGACGAGAACGATTTTAAAATTATCCAAACGCTGTATTTTAACCAAACTGCAGCAGTTAGAACAGAAGCCGGTGACACAGAAATATTCAATATCAAGCAAGGTGTACGACAGGGCTGTGTATTGTCACCACTACTTTTCAATATATATTCGGAAGAAATCTTTGCACGAGCACTAGAGCAATCAAGAGAAGGTGTTAAAATTAACGGCAGAGTTCTAAATAATGTACGATACGCCTTACTATATGGAATGGAGGCCTGGACCTTCAAAATCAACTCACTAAGGCGTTTGGAAAGTTTTGAAATGTGGTTATTTCGAAGGATGTTGAAAGTCCCCTGGACAGCGCATATGAGCAACGAGCAGGTCCTACACAAGATGGGTACCGACAGAGAACTCTTAAAAATAATGAAAACACGGAAAACCTCACATTTGGGACACATATACAGAAATGAGAAATACCAGCTACTGCAGCTTCTTATAGAGGGGAAGGTAGAAGGAAAACGTGGTCCTGGTAAACGCAGGCGTCCTGGTTGAAGAACATTCGTGAGTGGACTGGTTTGGATTCTCAATCTTTAATAAGAAAAGCCAGGGACAGAAATGATTTTGCTGAGGTTATCGCCAACCTTCATTGAAGACGGCACCCAAAGAAGAAGAGTATTATTGGGCTCTAATAAAAGATGAGATAACAAAACGTATTTAATGATTATGGATTATAACGAATTAAAAGTTAAGATTGCCTATTAGTTATATGAATTCGTTTCGCGAAGTCACAAAATATTTTAAATAAAAATGATAAAATGTTTCTTTTTTTGACATATCATTAATAATTATATATTGTGCATTTGTTTAAAATATTGTCAGACAAATTTCAGAATTGTCTTATATAATATAAGAGAGAAAATTTTGCCGGCAATATTTTCGACTGATATTAAAGTTTATTACCAGGCAATTTTCGCGAATTAAATTTGGCAGTTTAATCACAAGACATCAGTCGAGTGATTTTGTCAAAATTTCAAGGACGAAAATTGCCAAAAGGCAACAAACTTAAATCAAACCAGAAGAAAATTTTGCCGGTGGATAATTTTCTCTCGAATGATATTTGACAAGACTATTTCACGAGACAATTAATGCACCACATCAACGAAACATATTCTTTATTGATTTGTTAACAATGTTAAATAAACAATTTATTATAAGCTATAGTACTTTGCCCATTCTTTTTTATTATTTGCTAAATGCTATTATATATTGATTATGCTTTTGGACCGAGATTTCTTTTTTCTTGAACACTTTGAAGCTGCCTCCGCTTGGTATCTCTGGCCAATTTTGCACATTTGAAAGATATATCTATGAAAAGGTCGATTTTTATGCCGTACTTTCATACATACTTTTGTATGTACCATTTTTGCTGTAGTATTCACTTAACTTTACAGACGGCTCAACCGGTGACGGTTTGCTGTCAAACTGACAACAATAGAATCATCAGACACATATCTATTGTACAAATATTGTAAGATCTTCATATATATCTTTACACAATTCTTATAACAAAATTATTCAGAAAATAAATAGTTTTCTTAAAAAATACAAATTAGTTTGATTGTTTCTTTTGTAATAATAAATGACATTCATTTTATAGAATTCAATTAAATAATTTAAAAAATTATTTTTTTATGTATTTCTCTTAATATTGCCATAAATTAATACGCAAATAATTATTATTTCTTAGGAGACATTTAAAATTAACCTTACATAAATGAAACTGTGATCTAAAACGATAAATAATGGGTTTAGTATTTTTCGGGTTTCAACAGTATATGCAAGTTATTATTAATTAATTATTAAGAAAAAAACATTACGTAATATTAATTAGCCTAATTAAAAGGGGAAATACAGGTAATTTTTGAGTATCTGTGTCATGAAATTGCGTATTTGTTTGTAATAAGGTAATATCTTATTCGACAGAAATGTTTTTCATTGTAATATCCTTGTACATATAAAGTATCTTTAGAATCACTAGAAACTGATAAAAGGTCGAAAAGAACGAATGAATCTGAGGCTGAAAGAGGCCTATTCCCATTTAGGGATCAGATCAAGTATCTAGAAGTGGTGTTCACCAAAACACTAAATTGGAAACACGATCTGTTGGAACGCCATAACAAAGTTAAAAAAAGAGTCTACTAAATAAGAGACTACTCAACGGTCTATACGGGAAATTCTGACGAACGCAAGCAAAAACATTATACACACATACAAAATGTGCATTCAACCTCTGATTAAATACGGTGCAAAAATCTACGATCTGCTCAATCAAAGAACAGGGATAAAAGATGCTAGCGTTGGAAAGGAGTATTCGAATAAATGTTTAACCTAATACATCAACTAACGAACTACCATGTTTGAGATTCTCTCCTCTCTGAGCAGGATTTATACTCTAAAAACCATTCGTGGTCACAATATCCGAGCCTAAAATGTCCTAAAAACTACATGCTCATCTTTCAGAAATGTCCTAAAAAATTTTCCAAAAAGAAACTGCCTTCCCTCCAAAATTGATGATCTTTGCCAGCGACGACCTCTTTGACGAATACATAGATTTCCTGGAAACAACACCTCTTTTTATCGCATTTAGTTAATTAGCTCACTACTGGATAAGAAGGGTCCGGTTTTCTGTGGTTTAAATTACGAAAATTACGAACAGCTAAGATGTATGCAAATGAACTATAAAATAATAAAAACCATTTAATTAAAAAAAAATAAAATATTTGTATAATTATTAATTATCGGGAAAGAAAAGAGATGATATTCTAAACATATAGGAAAAAAATTGACTAAACATCTTTTTTGCTTTGTTTCGAGCTTCCTTGCATATGTTTTCTTTTTCTTTTGTCTTTTTTTGTAAGCAATGTTATGCTCTTTTTTTTACTTTCGTAGTTTTCGTTTGATGATTTAATTGTCATAAGGGTTGCTTTTTTACTGCTTGTTTTCTTTGTCTTGTCTAGAGTTTCATAAGTGCCTTTTTCTATACATATGCTCAGATTCTCTGAATAACTTACAAAAGTGTAAACAAGACACACACCAATATTTTAAACGTGGCATTCAGAAGATAGAATGTTGCTTGAAAATCGTACAATCCTTCTTCTTAGCCTTCTCTTGTCCATTTTTGGACATAGGCCTGTCCCAACTCCTTTAATCGATTTCTATTTTAAGCAATATACTTCCAATTTTTCCCGACTATTCTTTTTATGTCTTCCACCCATATCATACGTGGTCGTCTTGGTCGTCTACCTTTGTAAGGTCTTCCATGTTGTATTGTGGCCTTCCAACGTTGGCCTTTTTGTCTAGCGGTGTGACCTACGAAGCTTCATTTGAGTTTGGCAATTTGTGTTGTGATATCCTTAACTTTAGTATATTCCTGAAACACATTAATTATAACACGACTCATAGAATGCACTTAAACGTACTTGTTAATGATTATATAAAACAAAGTAGCTATCATAATGATAGAAAATATAAGCAACTTTACTCTATTGTAGCATTGATACCGACTTCTATTGATATGGTCTCTGTAAAAATCCCACTCTTAAATTTTCTAAAATAATAAACTAAATACTTACGCTGAGAAGGCCACAGATCCACAGAACTGTTCCAGAAGTTCAAATCGATATCCTCGATATCTGGAAAGACTATAATATCCTTGGCTTTGGCTGGTGGAGGATTGGAAGGTATCAGCGGCAAAAAAGCACAACAATGGTAAGCATACGCCAGTACCAGTGTCTGAATCCGTGGAAAATCTGTTGGTGGTGGGAACTCTCTCAGATTAGGGTTGTTAAATGTTTTGAGATGAAGCAGTCGTTCCAAGCCAGCGGAGGGGAGATGTGGAAAGACGTTGTTTCCCAAATTACTAAAAAAGCAAATTATTATGTTTAACGTTAAAGTATATGTCTTATCTTTGACAATTTACTGGAGGCACATTGAAAAACAGAGTTATGTCTATATAAAAAGAAGAAGAAGAAGAAGACATATGTCTAAATCATGTTTAAAATTACAAAATTAAATATGAATCTAAGTTATAAATCATTCTTCTTCTTCCTATGCCGTCCCCATTAACGGAGGTTGGCGACCACATTTTTAAAAGCTTCTCTGTCTTTTGCAACGTGGAATAATTCGTCTACAGTCATGTTTGTCCAGTCTCGAATATTTCGCAGCCATGACTTCCTCTTTCTACCTATTCCCTTTTTGCCATCGACTCTACCCTGCATGATGACCTGCAGAAGACTATATTTATTATTTCTTAGTATGTGTCCAAGGTATGCAGTCTTGCGTACTTTTATCGTTCTCAACAATTTTTTGACTCGACCCATTCTTCTCAGCACTTCCTCATTGGTGACCCTGGCAGTCCATGGGATTCTCAACATTCTCCGGTATATCCAAAGTTCAAAGGCTTCAATCTTTTTAACTATTTGCGCTTTTAGTGTCCATGTTTCTACCCCGTACAATAATTGCGACCAGACGTAACATTCAACAAACCTCAGTCTCAGCGCAATATTCAGATTTTTGTCACAGAACAATTGTTTGAATTTTAAGAACGCTGCCCTTGCCATTTCTATTCGTACCCGGATCTCTTGGTCTGGATCTAATTCTGTGTTGATGTAAGCTCCCATATATTTATATTTTGTCACTCTCTCTATTTGCTGTCCACCAAGAGTTAGTTGTTCATTATTTATTGGACTCCTTGATACTATCATAAATTTGGTCTTATCTGTGTTGATGTCAAGTCCCATTTGAATGCATTCACTATTTATTGCATCTAGTAAAGTTTGTAGATCTTCTATACTTTCAGCCATAATTACCGTGTCATCTGCAAATCTCATGGTGTTTATGATTTCTCCACCAATTCTTATTCCCTCTTTTCTTTCCCATAAGGCTTTTCTGAATATGACCTGTGAGTACACGTTGAAAAGCGTCGGAGACAAGACGCATCCTTGCCTAACCCCTCTCGCAATCGGTATATTATTTGTTTCTATATCGTTCACCTTTACTACTGCTTTCTGGTTCCAGTATATAGCCTTAATAAACTAAATGTCTTTTTTGTCTAAATTGATGTTTTTTAATTCATCTATTAACTTCATATGCTGCACTCGGTCAAAAGCCTTCCTAAAGTCTATGAAGCGTACATCATTACAAATCATTATGTTATTACAAATATAATACGTCGCGCATCGTCCCATTTTTGGCTTGTCAAAAATCATCTTTGCAAATAAAAATGCAAAATATTTGAGTATACAACACAGTATAGTTCTAAGGTCTTTTACTTTTGGACAATTTTAGCATTGATATTAATATTTGACTACATAAAATTGGGTTAAATATTAAAATATTAATTTGCAATTGTTTTATAGATCAATATTCATAATTTACTTACAGATCTTCAATCCTAGCTATTGGCATAAATGAATCTGGATGGATATATGATATTTTGTTATCTTCAAGATCCCTGAAAATATAAGAATTTATAAATACAAAAAATCTAATAATTATAAATATAATAAGAATAAAAATCGATATTATATTTCCTTTTTTTGTACTTTAAAATAATAAAGGTGAGCAATCTTTAAATTACGGTGAACGTGAAACGGTGAACGGTGAAAAGTCTATTCATATTAGTGAAGTCCTTCTTCCAAGATTATTTATTTACTGTATCGATCTTTAATTCGTCTTTTCTCTGTTCTGCCTATAGAAATTTTAAAATAATTGCGGAGTTTTGAATTAAGATAGAACAACGATTCGCAGATCTTTTTACTATGTGTTTAGAAAATAATCCACTTAGCGAGATTTTCCATTCATTCTCGTCGAGATGGATTTTTTTCCGTTGTCACTCTTGGTCTGGGGCACACAGAGAGGTTCTGGTTGATCGCGGCATTGGTACTTTGTCGATACAGGCTGGGTGTCTAAGTCAAAAATGCTGGTATTCTAGAAACGATGACTTAAAGTTAGCATATGGTGTTAACAAAGAGTTTGGCTATGATCAGAATAATTTTCAATAAAAAAAGTTTAAACTTAAACAATTCCAGCGGAACAATGAGTCAGCGTTCGAAATTTATATATTTTTTGTTAATATTTTGACTTAGACCATTTTGGTTTGCATACATAAGAAATATAGCCAAAACTTTACAGAGTAATAATCCCAAACCTCTAAGTATCGACGATCACAATAAATTAATAACAGACTCAGTTAGAAACGTACAACTCAAATTTTGCAAGAAAAATGACACCAAAAGTGAAAAGATTAGCAAAGATACAAGGACTCTCATGGAAATACGACGAAACCTAAGCGAGAACGAAAAGGAAACAAAGAAGAATATAAAAAACTAAATAAAAGAATTTCAGCGGAAATTAGAAAAGATGTAAGAAGATATAATACTAATGTAATTACTCAAACAGTAGAAGAGAACAAAGGTTTAAAGATAATGAAAAGAAAACTTACGCAAAGTAAAAAAGAAATATACAAGCTGAGAGATAAAGACGGAAAGGCAACAACAGATAAATAAAATATTCTGAAAATAACTAGAGAATTTTATAAAGACCTCTATACCAGCCAAAGACCACAAGACAATTTCCCGACACGAGTAAAGACTCTCATAAATCAGGGATCGGAAATACTTTTACCCATTACTGTGTCAGAAGTAAGAGCAGCTTTAAAGGAAATGAAGAACCATCGATCGCCTGGTGATGATGGACTCGTTATCGAGGCAATAAAAGCAGGTGGAGAAATTTTATTAAAATCAGTAAGCGAACTGTTTACTAAATGCTTATATAGTAATAGTCTTGTTACACCAAAAAGGCGATATTACTAAATTAGAAAATTATAGACCCATCAGCCTCTTGACACATATGTACAAACTTTTTATGAAAATCTTAACAAAGAGGCTAACACCTAAACTTGATTTCTATCAGCCCAAAGAACAGGCAGGCTTCAGGGCAGGATATGGCACAAATGACCATTTGCATACCATAAAGATCTTAATAGAAAAGTGCATCGAGTACAACATACCATTGGTTCTTGCATTTGTCGATTACGAGAAGGCTTTTGATTCTGTAGAGTTTGAAACAATACTGGAAGCCCTAAATTAAAGCCGAATAGATTACAGGTACACGACACTAATCAAAAACATCCATCAGAACGCTACATCAAGTATACGACTGCACGAAGACACAGAAAAATTCAGCTTAGGTCGAGGAGTTAGACAAGGAGACAATATTTCACCAAAATTGTTTACTGCAGCTCTAGAGTCAATATTTAAGGGTACTCAATGGCAAGATATGGGCATCAATATAGATGGAGAAAGATTAAATGAAAAAAAAAAGAGGTTAATCTTTGTAAATGGGTATATTTATTTAAAAAACCCTTAAAAGGGCCACATCAATAGAACAAACGTTTTCGGACTACACAGTCCATCATCAGGTTATTAAAATCGAAAATGCTAGGTCATAATGCCTGAGCCACCAAAATATTAGGGTAAAAACCCTTTAAATTACATTTAGTTATGAAATGTTGTACATTGTGTTATAAAATAACTGTGATGTTATATATTAAATTAAATTTGACCAAAGGTAACACATGGCTCAAATGGGTTCCAGAGCCGGGCGAGAGACAACCTCTGCGCTCGGAGAACAACGTGGAACTCACGTTCTCCGAGCGCAGAGGTTGTCTCTCGCCCGGCTCTGGAACCCATTTGAGCCATGTGTTACCTTTGGTCAAATTTAATTTAATATATAACATCACAGTTATTTTATAACACAATGTACAACATTTCATAACTAAATGTAATTTAAAGGGTTTTTACCCTAATATTTTGGTGGCTCAGGCATTATGACCTAGCATTTTCGATTTTAATAACCTGATGATGGACTGTGTAGTCCGAAAACGTTTGTTCTATTGATGTGGCCCTTTTAAGGGTTTTTTAAATAAATATACCCATTTACAAAGATTAACCTCTTTTTGTTATACGTGGTATACAGCCAGCTACAGGAATTTTTTCCTTGTGGATTTTTTTAAAGATTAAATGACCTAAGGTTTGCAGATAATGTATTAATCGCAGATAACTTACAAGATACAGTTTCTATGATGCATTCGCTTAAAAGTCTGTCTGAAAGAGCAGGATTAAAGATAAACTTTGAGAAAACTAAAATTATAACAAATCTCGTAATGAGTGGAAATATAACTATTGACAATAATACCATACAACAAACAGACACTTACAAATATCTGGGACACGAAATCAAAATAAGCAGAGACAATCAAACACATGAAATACAGAGGCGAATAAGTCTAACATGGGCAGCATTTGGCAAATTAAGCCATATTCTAAAAAGTTCAATTCCCATGTGTCTCAAGCGAAAGGTTTATAACCAATGTGTTTTACCTGTACAAACTTATGGAGCAGAGACTTTAACACTCACGCAAAAATCTGCGAATAAACTCAGAGTTACACAACGAGCCATGGAACGTGCAATGCTGAACGTGAGCCTTCGGGACCACATAACAAACCAACAAATCAGGCGAAGATCAGGAGTTCAAGACGTCATCGAAAGAACCACGACGCTTAAGTGGAACTGGGCAGGGCACTTAGTCAGAACACAAGATGGACGGTGGACAAGACGTATTATGGAATGGACGACCACCGACTAGATGGACCGATGACATTAAACGTGTAGCGGGAAACTGGATACAAGCGGCCCAGTGTAGAGAACACTGAAAAGAACTGAGGGAGGCCTATGTCCAGCAGTGGACGCGATTGGCTGATTGATGATGATGTGTAATTCTGTATATTATACAAATTAAATTCTTATTCATTAAAAATGTCGTCGTCTAAAGTTTCATCCACCAAAATGTCTTCCAGTGGATCCACTTCTACTGTATTGTTTCCACGTACAAATAATTTTTTATAATAACTAGTATACAGTATAGTTTACAGTATAGTATAGTATGGATAATAACTAGTATTGGAGCTTCATACTCTTTGTCAACCATTTTTCATCCACTCCTAAATGTAGGTCTCTTCCTATTGCTTCCATCTTCCTCTAGCTTGCGCCAATATAATCCATCCACTGTTTGCCTGCCACTGCCCTTATGTCATCTACCATGTTTTTCGAGGTCTTCCCATACTTCTTGTTGTCGTTCTTGGTCTCCATTCTAGAATTTCCGTGTCAACTTGCCATTATATCGGGCTACATGACCTGCACAGCGCCATTTCATTTTTGCAATTTCTTCCACAATATTCCTAATCTTCGTTCTACGTCTTTTAAAAATATCTTCCAGAGCCTGATTGAAAAGTTTCGGTGATATTGTGTCACCCTGTCTCACGCCTCTATTTATTTGTATTGATTTTGTTCCTTCATGTACTTTAATTGTTGTTTTGGTTTCTAGATTTAAAATTATCGCACACAGGCAATATATTTAATATTTAAAAAATATGTAATTAAGTATAGAGAGGGTGTAAGAGGATAAATCTACGTTCCTGTGCAAATTCCAATTACACCTATATGAACAATACATAGTCTATTTGGACCTTTGTGTGTTAATTGGCAAAATAAATGCAGTTAAGTTATGCCCGAATTGGAATTAAACAACACCCTGTATCGTTAAGTGAATCTAAATTTTATCTGACTCTTTAATTTCTTATTGTTGTTTTCAGTACACTTAAATCTGATGCCAGATAAAGGATGACCCTAGGTGGTACCATTAACGACAAAAATTAGTGTTGAAACAATGATTGTTATCTGGAAGTCATTCTATTATCTACCAATTAGTTAATTTTTTATTTTATATATTTTTAATTAAACTGGTTAAAGGTGTTGCTGTAGGTTAATGTGTTAAACAAAAACAAAAATACATTGATTTCTAAAAATAACCTAACCTTTCTTCATAAAAAATATGCAATAGCTTAAACAGATCCGATAGTCTAATAGTTTTGTAATGATTTTATAGTTTTTTTTATTTTGTATGCTCTCTAGCACGTTATTGATTATTTTCATGTGGGAATTATCAACATAAAATATTTACTAAGCTAAAATTAGTACTTACAGAACTTGCAGCTTGGATAAATTATAGAAGGCATCTTGTGGAATATACTCGATCAGATTGTGCGCTAGCAGCAAATCATGCATTAGGTACATCCCCCGAAATGGCCGTCCTTCGATATCTCGAATATTGTTACTGGCAAGATCTCTAAAATTACAAAATTACAAAATTAATATTGTTTTAACAGTTTTTTATAGAAATACTTACAGAACTCTCATATCTTTACATTTGTTTAAATCGGGAACTGCATTTAGTTTGTTGGACTTTAGATCACTGAAATAAAAATACACCTGTCTATCAATTAAATACAATATAAAACGATTTACTATTCTCATTACTGACAAGCATAATCGTCATATTTATACCTTCCTCGACTTTTTCCAAGAGTTTATTTAATTAATACTCAATTCTATCTTCCATTTAAGCATAAACAGACTTTAATGGTTTGATTAAAAGAAATATTCATGGCTCCAAAACCTTCGTCAATGGACTGGCTTACCAGCAAATAATTATTGTTTCATGCCACACAAGATTGACAAAAATATCGGCATAATGTTATAAAGGGTACAACGCCTAAATCTGTGCATAGTACTCAAAGAAGAAAACGGTTTGAAAATCCCATTTGTGAGCAACAGTTTAAAGCAGAACACTGGCTGTAACAGACACCTACTTCCAACTACTCAATAAAAGCTTGTACACATGAAAATAGCCCCCAGACATAAAGCGTCACATAACTAAAAATAAAATACACTATCTACTTCTTCTTCTTCTTCTTGTCCTTCTCCCGTCTATTTTTGGAAATAGGCCTCTTCCAACTCTTTTCATCGATCCTGAGCAGCATACTTCCATTTTGTTCTAACTCTTGGTTGTTTTTCTTTGTAAGGTCTTCAATATGGTATTGTGATATTACAACGTTGGTCTTTTTGTTTAGCAGTGTGACTTGTGAAGCTCTATTTGAGACTATCCACTAACCAAAGAAAAATCGTCGGTAAATCATTGCGATGAGATCGTACACACTGTAAAAATATTAAAGTTTTCTTCAGGGACTCTCAGATAGGTAAAGCTTTATATCAAATAAGTCAGGTGGATACGCTCGTAATTGTGAAGAGCGTCTGAAACTGAACCATACTACTTGACATAAGGCAATACCCTGCACTGGAGACCATAGATTACTGGCTTGGGGGGAATATAACTTTCTGTAAAAAAATATTATGTATAATTTTGCAGGCTACCTTAGAAATAAGGTAAGAACCAAGAGCGTGGAGGTCCATAAGGGTAGCTCTTATACATAAATCTGGCAAAATTAAAAAGAAAAAAGCGAAGTCTGCAGTAGAGCAGTCAATCTCTCAGTCTGCTTCTAGTTTGCCTTTATCTTTGTAAAAAAAAAGAAAAAACTTCTAAAACTAACTATGATTTCTCATAATAATATTGGCTTCGGATTTAATTTATTAAAAATAATTTTTACCAAAAGAAATAGGAATAGAAGGGGAAGAACTTCATAGTGGGACGTTTTTTTAAGAGTATAGCACCCTGATTAAGCCTTTTTAAATCATAGTAAGGGTATCTATGCATGGGTATGGATGTAAGCAAACTAATAATAATTTCAAGTAATCCTTTATTTACAATAAATGTTATTCAACAAGTCTCACTATGGACCACTCGTTCCACTATGAACCACTATATGGTCTATTGTGGGAATCATAGTGGTCCATAGTGGGATTTTTAATAAAAAACGCTTTTACTCTATTTTAAATTGAAAAAAAATCACAGGGAACATAAACTGACCAGTAGCTTGCTAATGGTAAAAGGGGGCAGCTTTAGTAAAATATATTTTGCTCTTACGGTATCTGCTTTGGATTTGTCGGAGAAAAAAAATTTGCCAACCAAAAATTATCTTAATAAAAGAGATCGCCATATTGGTTAACAGTTTTTTTGTCTTGTATCTTACTACAACATTGCCCTGATTTTGAATAGACAAATCTTGATTTTCCGTTATGAAGTTTTCTAAATCGCCAGAATCGTTGCCAATCTCTTTATTAACATCACTGTTCAAACTAATGTCGTCAATAAAAACTTGACACTTAACTTTTTTTTGCCATCTGATTTTTTTCTTCTGAAAGTGTTTTTAGCCAATCTTTCTTTATGCTGCTCCTCCATGGCATCTTTTATGGAGATATCTGCTATTATTGCTGACAGATATTATATTAGATAGACCATTAATTGAGCTGACATATTGTGGTTCTTCTACATTCTGATTATTTTCTACATCCTGAATATCCACATCCTGAACATCTTTCCTGAAATGGAAAGACACAGCTTACGTCGAGCGGTTGTAATTTATCACTGCAATGGGACAGCAATGTCAATAAAAGAATCTCATTATCTTTGTACAGATTCAGCACACGAACATTAAAACGGCTCAGGATTGTCAAGATTAACAGAATTCTTTACTACATCGTACGTGTTTTATAAAGGGCTCTATATACTTCAAAAAATTGTCTAACTTCATCCAACCAGAGGGAGACGCTGCACCGGCTGATCCTAGAGGAGCCCCAGTAAGCATGAAAGGCTTAAATATTTTTCTCTAGAATACAGTGCACATTTTTAATACTGTGCATCTTTTAGCTCTTGTCACTTTTCCATTTTTTTTTGTTTATTGCTAGCAAGTACCTTCCTGGCTTTTTGCACATTGGTGACACCAGTCTCATCACAATTGTATATTTGGTACAACTGGATATTATCTTTCATTATCACACTTCTAAAGTTTGTGAAAAATGTAGCCACCTTATGCTTGTCAAAGATGGAGGCATTTTCAAGGCTAGTTGCTTCTGGTTTTCGAAGCGATAACGTAGGGTATTGATTAATAAATGGCAAACTTATAAGCCAATTCACGAGTATGTAATAATGTTGAGCCGTAGCACATTTTACAAGCCTTAATTAAGTACTTCCACAATTGTCCGTATTTAAAATCATTTGTGTTTTCTTCATTAGCTTCATTAGCTAATTTAAACTTGCTCACTTTCCGCTGCGGAGCCGACTTGCTTACACCATGCTTTTAGGGTGCACTCATCAATGACATTTGATTTTCTACATTATCTTTTATTGCAGAATGCATACACCTTGCATATACTTCATGATCCTCTATGCTTTTTTCGAAAACTGCTGACATTTGGGATCTTGGCTGTATCCAGGAATATCCGGGATATCCAGTATGGACCGCTTTTTATTCCCACTATGAACCATGGCGCATCAAAATACAAATGACAAACATTTTTATCAAAGTGGTAGAGCTAAGATTAAACAGAATAAGACGATATTGAGGTTATGTATGTTCTAAATATCCATACCAAATTCAAGTTGAAAAGGAAGAATTCTGGCGGATTATTCGAAAAATTAGTTTCCAAAATATCGAAACGCACAGTACTAATTATAAACTAACACGAGATTCGGAGGCAGCACTTTTATGATAGCACACATACTGAAATATAACTCTGCCGCTATGATTAAATAGCCAAGACAATGAAATTTTTACTATGGACCAGTTTACCTTAAAAAAGTTTCTGATTTAGATCCATAAATTTAAATCGAATTATCGAACAAATTGCTTGTAATTGCACAATATATCGACTAAATTGTCTTTTATTACGCAAGTGTGCTTACTTACAATTAAAAAAAAGTTCAACCATAAAAGGATTTGGCAATTTTTACTAAAACAATTACTCTAAGTATAACTTGATAGATTTCTTTGATATCTAAGGAAAGAGGTGTGTACAAAAAGTAAATGAATTTTTTGACAACTTAATCTGTATAGTGTGATAACGTTTTGCACAATCTATTACATTTAAATCCTATTCAGAATTATTTTTATTAATTATCAAGGGTAACCGTGTTACTTACAGACTTTTTAACCTGGGGCACGTGCTGCACAACGATTCTGGCACCGAAGAAATCCCCGCCCGGTCCAACCTCAATATCTCCAGGGCGCTGGTGCCGTTCAGATTCGGAAACGTGGATAGTTCTCTGGCATCCGAAAGAATCCTGCAAAAAGAACCGTAAATCAAAACAAATTAGATATTATTATACATTATTACATTCTTCTAGTGATTTATTCGGTTGTTTTTTACTGTTTCGGTGATAGAATTGCGAAACAAGATTTGGAACCGCTGGGGATTTTTAATTTTCGAAACTTATGGCTTTTGTGAACTGCGTGGGTAGGGGGATGTGTTTTGGATATTTGGTTTCACTCTAGTCTACAACCATAAATAAATACATAGTTTTATTATTTTCGTTTTTTAATTGTAATATCTTAAACATATAATAGTAGGCAATAATATCTTTTATTGCATTAAAATAACATGGTGTAAACTAAATTTAGTAGTGAGTATCCTAAATATTGAACTATATTATAATAAATAGATAATACAACTTTTGTAAAAATCTTCTTTGTTCCTGCGTTGAGGAATGTTTTGCCCCTTCTAGAATCCATTGTTTCAGCGGCTCTTATACTTCTCGCTTTCTGTTGGCAATCTAGTATTTGTGAGTTAGTCGATGTTTATTCATTTCGACTATATACAGGGTGTGGCGTGACCAGTTTTGATTAAAAGTAATGGCGGATATAGCGGATTTATGGTAAAAATCTGAAATTACGAAACTGTAGGTTTTGGATGACACTGGGTTGAAATATAGGGTAGGTGGGGGTAAAAGTCCACATTTTACATATACACAATATTTGCCACACTTGTGATTGCAGTATACATATTACATTTGTCGGGCCATTAGGATAACTAATGCCCTTAGCTGTAAATATAAAACGACAGCTAAATAGATGTAAGAAAAAAAACTATACCTCAAAGTACAATAGTTTACAAATCGGATTCTTACCCCTTTAATCGGGGCAAAAGTCCGCATAGCGGATCTTTGCCCCCTTTGAATAAAAATAATTTTATAAAAATAAAAATTAACAATGTATCAAATACAAATCTTTATTTTGTCAACAAACATTATCTAAAAACTTATAAAAATACAAACAAGTAGATATATGACCTAAACGCAAAAAGATAAATAATAAAAGAAATTTTTGAAAGGTGAAACATTTTTTAGGTTACAACTAGTGCAACATTAAATCACTTAAATCGGTTGAAAAGCTCACAAAGTCCTTAAATCTAGCAGAACTGCCTAGCAATGGCTTGGAAAGTTTCCTTATAATGTCTGTCTTGTTAACAAAAAACTCTTCGTCAGTTTCTGAAAAACGCATTGTATTGGGTGCCCTTTTATAATAAATACCAAGGTAACCATCATCTACCATTACAGCAATTCGCATAACGTACATTCGAAATGAGTCCTTGGTTTTGCCGTAAACTTTTACTATAGCAAACTCTCCTGGACTTAATTCGGATAATTCATTTTCAACATCACTTTCAGAAAAACTTAAATTTGTGCTACTATCATGAAGTGATATTTGCGCGTCCGAGTCAGAAGAATATTCATATTCCTTTTTGTTTAGTATATTTTGTTTTTCTTCACATACTTTTCTTACTATATTTTTATTTTCCTTCCTTTTTTTCTCGTTTATTTTGTTTTTCTTCTCCAGCTCTGAGATTTCCATTTGCTCTTTATGTGGAGTAGATGTCAGAAGTGTAGATTTCAATCCTTTTCTTGTTCGTTTTCTCTTTTTGGTTAGTTTTGGCAACGGAATGATATCTGACGGTACCGTAGTAGACATTTCATTTTTCGAGCTTCCAGGTTTTGATTCTAACTTACTTAAAATGCTAGCTCTATCTGGTAAATTTTCAATATTTCGTTCTTCTGCTTCACCACTTGGTTCTTCTGCTTTATCATTTTCCTGACTTTTGTCTTCGTCAAATACAATCCTTAATTGTATATCTTTATTATTTCGGTCAAGATCATCTACTTCTTCTTGCTCTTGTTCAGTTACTGAAGAAGGTAAAAAATCTTCCTCAGTAAAGATATTTTCATCTAAAGGGAAAATACCTGTCATTTTAAATCCATTAACAGCTTTTTCTATAGTAGCAGTTTTCTCATAGGCCTGCTTGAATAATCCAGCGACGTGGTATTCAGTGACTACTTGCCCGGGATTAGATGTGGTCCAATTATCACACAAATCATCATAGTGAGCTTTTAATGGCCTAAAAAAGTTTCTGTCCAGTGGTTGAGTTCGATGGCTGCTATGAGCTGGGAGGCTGAGCAAATAGATGTTATTATTTTTTGCGTAAGTGATAGCCTCTAAAGTGGTATGGGATATGTGGTTATCCAAAATTAATAGCACTGGGCTTTCAGCGGTAGGATTTGTATATTTGCGAAAGTGCTCCAAAAATTGAAGAAACTTAACTGAATTCATGTATCCAGAATCAGTTACAGCCAAAACAGAACCAGTTGGAGCGTCCTTTATCAAAAGAGGATTTAGTCTTTTGCGTGCGAAAATAAAGAATGGTGGAACATAGTGTCCTGTTGCACTCATAGAACATGCAGCTGTCACAGTTATTCGTTGCTCTGCAGCTACATTATTTGCTACTTCTTTTTTTCTAGTGGGAGCAACATGTTTAGGTAATTTATTTGGTACTGTTTGTAGACCACTCTCATCCATGTTGTAGATTTTATTCGCTGGAAATTTATATTTCTCCAAGACAGATTTTAAATTTTGAAAATACTGTGTCAATTGATGTTTGTTGAACCCCATGGTCCTAGCTACACTGGTTTTTCGTGGTGTACGTAGTGAAAGGCGGTTTCGTTTCATAAAATTTCTAGTCCAATCTCTACCTGCTAGTTTTGATTGCTTAGAAAATTGATGCTGGATACCATTTCTTTCTGCAAACTGATATGCCAGAAAACAAAGCGATTTTAGGGAAAGCCCATAGAAACGTAAGTCTAAAGCTTTACAATGGTCCACTATTTGCTGTTCCTGCTCTGGAGTAAATACAGGTCGAAATCTACCCAAGAAATGAACGCTGCTGTCCGCTTTTAGCCTCTTTCGAATGGTAGATTCATAGTCAAGAGCTCTACCTATTTCTCGTGTTGATAGACCTGTTTCCTTTAAATGTTATGTTTATATATATATATATATATATATATATATATATATATATATATATATATATATATATATATAAATGTTAAACCTAACCTCAAATTAAAGATTTTGTTTCTAAACATTATTTACAATAAACCGGATTACATAAATTAGTTAACAGACTTTTTAGAAAAAATAGTTTAAACACATACAATCTTCAAAAGAATGATTAAAAAAATTAGATTAGAACACCAAAATTTAAAACTTACCACAGATTTTCGTTAACTACCGGCGCACGAACCACGTGTATAATCTGCAGCGCTGTTCGAAAGGTACTGACCGATCCAAGTGTGAGTCAAGTTAATCTATTCGCTCTGTGATCTAGAAAACGTGTGCGGTTTCTTACCCCATGCGGACTTTTACCCCCACCTACCCTAATGTTGTGCTGAATAAATCACTTCTGGTTACACGAAAAGTAGACATGAACTTTGTTTTTTTAAATAGATCCTAATATTTTTTATTTTATTTTATAATTTTACATAATATTTTAGATAAAATTTGTGCACAATGAGCTACATCAAAAACTAAGAGTATTTTCGAGATACAGTTATCCTTTAATAACCCGACAGGTATGGGATCAAAGGGGCGTCGGATTACCAAAAGTGTCCAGATTACCAAAAGTAAGTAATCTGGCCTAAATATTCCAGCTTTCTTGTTTTGGTGTGCTTTATGACCTAGCGATCCTTTTGTAGCCTTCTTAATACTTCTGCATTTGTAACTCGTTGGGTCTATCATATTTTCAAAATCCTTCTATAGCACCACATCTCAAATGATTCTAACTTCTTTATATTATCCACTTTTAGTGTCCACCTTTCCATTTCATGGAACAAAGTCGGGAACACGTAGCATATTAAGACTCTTATACTCAGCTGAAGAGTAAGGTCTCGATTAACAAACATTGTTTTCAGTTTTATAAATGCTTGTCTTGCAATTTCATTGTATGTCCTTATATCTCTACCTTGGTCATTGTTTTCATTTACCGAGGTTCCCAGATATTTGTAGGTATTCACTCTTTCTACTTGTTTTCCCTCGATATCCAGTCTACCTACTGTATGTTGCTTAAAATAATCATGCACTTGGTTTTCTTAACGTTTATTTGTAGTCCATATTTGAAACTGACTTGATTTAATCTATTTACTTACCGTTACAGTGCTTCTAGACTGACTGCAAAAACAGCGGTGTCGTCTGCGAATCTTATGTTTTTCAAGATTTTTCCGTTTCTTGATATATCCTGTTGTTACTCTGATATTAATTCCTTAAAAATAGCTTCGCTGTACAGATTGAATAACAATGGGGACAGCACGCAATTCTGTCTAACACCTCTTTTGATTTCAATCGTTTCTGTATCGACATTTTCGAGGAAAAAAAGGAAGACCTACTTGCATTTAATTCTTTAACACCCAACCATATTTCCAGAATTACTTAATGAAGAGGGCTCATAAATGTTTAGAAGTAGATGGTGCTAATTTTGAACACTTATTATAAAAGTTTATTTAATATTTCATTTAGTTATTTAAGGTAAGTTATCTAATTATATTAGAATTATAGAAAAAATTATATATGAAAATATTACTAAAAATTATACACTCTAGAGTACACAGAAAACTGGAAATGGACATCAATAATACCCAGTTTGAGTTTCGAAATGGACTCGGAACAAGAGAGGCGTTGTTTGCACTGAACAAGTCTCAAAGATGTCTTGACATAAATCAAGATGTATTCATGTGTTTCATAGATTACAATAAGGCCTTTGATAAAGTGCGGCATGATCTAACCTAACCTAACCCAATCAGACTCCTGACAGAAAAGAATTTAGATAAACGAGACATTCAACTAATAGCAAATATGTACTACAATTAGAAAGCAGTAGTGAGAGTAGAGAATAATACCACTGAAGAAATTGAAATAAAGCGAGGTGTGAGACCAGGCTGTATACTGTCACCAACCCTGT